GTCTGGATTATATGTGACTAATAATTGACTTTTTATTAATGCTTCTTTTACATTTTTAAAAGCTAACTGACACTCGTCTGGCCAATTCCAAGGTATTTTATTTTTTGTTAAATTGTACAAGGGAGCTAAAGCTAATGTAGATGACGACATTGGAATAAAACGTTGATAATAGTTAATGAGAACGAGGAATGATTTTAATTGCACTATACATCATTAGGGCACGGCGCATTTCTTATCGCATCCATTTTATTTTCATAGGGATGTACTCCTTGATAATCTATTTTATGACCTAGAAATAACACATTTGAACAATAAAACTGACATTTCTCGAAATTTACTTTTACTCTATACTCATTTAAACGTTCTAACATCCCATTAACATTTTCTCACACTCTGACCTTGACTAGCCACAGATTATTATGTCATCTAAATATACTTGTACTCTAGAAACACCTCCTAAAATATTTTCCACGCTTGACTGGTTTATGCTCGGCGCTGACGCTACTCCATAACATAAAATACAACCCTTTATGAGTATGAAATATGAATTGTAAGAAACTTAGGACTTTCAGGGGCAACCTGTAATTGCAAATATGCTTCTGCTAAATCCATAACCGTGAAAACACTTCTCCCTGATAACTTATTAGACACATCATCGACTCTTAGTAATCGGTGTTGTTCAATTTGTAATTTTGGATTTAAGGTAATTTTTAAATCTACACAATATTCTAATTTTATTTTTTTGGTAAAACTACAATAGGGGATGCCCAGTCATTAATTGAAACCTCACCTATAACCCCTTCAACTTCTAATGGATTTAACTCAATTTCTACAGCAGACTTTAGTGCATACGGTACTTTATATGATCTATGAAAAACTGGTACGCTATTTTCTTTCAAAGATAAATTTACCTCATGGTTTTTTATATAATCAGCTGGTTTATCATTTAATTTAACCACCCCAGGAAACATGAGTTTAACATTTTTAATTACGTCTATTTAACTTAGAACACAATTATTATTATTTACGGAATTCATATTTTCCCCGATTTTGCAATCTACACTATTAATTGTTCACATATTTAATCTCCAGTTCGAATATAATTTATCTAACCAAGATGTCGATCTTAATAAAAAATAAATCTAATAAAATTAAATCTAATCTAATCTATCTAATCTCCAATAAAACTTTTTTACAGAATTTCCCGTTTACAATTAAGTACAATTAAATATTTTTTTGATTTAACATCTCGACATTTACAAGTGTTTGACCTAAGACCTAACTGGTTCACAATTTACAGAACTTAATTGAATAAGTTTTTTTTCTAGTTTACACGAATTATTAAAGTACATATAAAATATTTACTCAGCGTAACTGAAACCGACTCTCCACTATCTTCCTCAAATAACGGAATAACTTTATTATTGTCTTTGATTTTAATCACAAGTGAATTTTCCTCACTATTCTGAGACACATTTACTAAATCAATACTTTAAATTATTTTTAATTTTTGTCTTACACATTTTCAACGTATGATCTTTTAATTTACACGAGAAACAATCCCACTCTCTGGCTGGCCATGTACGAACATCGTGCTTCTTTCCGCGTCTGAAGCATTGGCCAAACTTAAGAGCTCGAGAACTTTGACTGCCATCCTGAACTGACTAACCACTTTTTTGACGATTTCCCAGACTACGGTTTTCCTCCAGAATTTTCGTTCCACTTGTTCCGACTTCGATGACGAATGTGTATAACGAGACACCTTTTTCCCATTATTGACAAAGTTTACTTGTGATCTATTATTCATTTGTTATGTTTGCTTACACACAAACTCCGCATCCAAAGCAATTTTACGTGCTCCTTCAAACGTCAGAGAGTCTATACCAAGTAACTTTCGTTGACACGCCTCATCACTTAAAGTCACAATAAGACGATCTCGCAGAGCATCGTTTAAAAACGAACCAAGTACCCAAAAACTCGGGAAGTCCGACAATTGCAGGGGATAGCGCATCCCCTTGCCTTAGGCAAAAATAATTGATGATTCTCCTAAGTTTTCAGAAGGTGTTCGAATTACGATTTCTAATCAACCTTACAAGTTTCCTTAGAAAACTAAAATTTTCAGGTGTTATCCATTGTTAATTCCTGTTAATGTTATCCTAATCCTGCTTTAAGCAGTATATCGACTACTTATCGTATACACAACCAAAAAAAAAAAAAAACACCCTCATCATTGTATAATTAATACATTCATCGCACCTCTTAGAATCTAAGAACTTATTTTTTTTAGCAATTCAATTTGGTTATTTATACATGTATTTATGCAAGTTTAGGTGACACAACGTCTCTGCTCAGGATCTTTATTTGAATTCAAATACAACACATCCATTACAATAACATGCTTGACAACTACTCTACAGCAGACTGATACTCACTGGTCCACTTTTTTTTAATATTCACATGCTACACATTTTAGCTATCTTCATTTCAATTATTAGTTTTGAAAGTCATATTTAAAATATAAATTGTAAAATTCAAAGTAATATTTTTAATTTAAAATATAGTTTTGGGTCAGGGCAAGATTCTAAATATTCTGCAGTAAATTTCAAAGCACAAATAAAAACTGAAGTGGACATAATTGATGATACTATTTATGAAAGTTTTTTTTATGAGAGAGAATTACAATTATGATCCATTAACCATTATGTGCCATACATCTACAAAATATGACACAAAAGGCAAGCCTACAAATTGCAATTTGAATTTTAAAGCCTCGACTATAAATTTAACACCTCCTAATCCTAAACACAAAACAGTTTCGTACTTTCGTATAAAAAAGAACAATACCTTTCTCAAAACGATGTTGACTCTGAAAAACCATTTAAATGTGGTATTTGTAATAAATCATTTTCACTGAAAGGAACCTTGAAAACTCACATTTGGATTCATATGAAAGAAAAACCTTACAAATATTCCATTTGCACAAAATCATTTTCTCAGGCATCAATTTTAATTACTCACAAAAAATTCATAACGCTGTTAAACCATTTAATTGTGATATTTGCAAAAAGTCGTTTGTACAGAAAGTAGACATGAAAACTTACATGATATTTCATAAATTTGGCAAATCGAATGACAAAACTTGTAATAAAACAATTTTACTAAAAGAATATTATATGAAAACTCTTACTGTTGAAGATAATACATACAAATTAGTCGTCTGTAAAAAACAATTGTCTTAAGGAACAACTTTAATTACACAAAATATATTCAAAAGTCTGTAATATCATTTAAATGCGATATTTACAGTAAATCATTTTCACTTAAAGGAAACTTAAAACTCACGTAAGGGTTCATACTAAAGAAAAACCATATAAATGCGATATTTGTAATAAATCATTTTCACATAAAGAATACATCAAAATTCATGGAATTCATACGGGAAAAACCCCCATTTAAATGCAATATTTGTAAAAAAACATTTTCTCAACCATCAGCTTTAAATATACATCAAACTATTCATAAAGTCATTTAAACATTTAACAGTGTTTTATAATAGAGTGATGTCATGAATTATAATTATATACTTTCCAATTAAAAACATTTAAATTTATATGTATCACACTTTCCTATATTATGGAAATACTCTATCATAATACTCATACTATAACCACAAAACCACCAGACTGTCCTTCCTCTTATAGACCTATAAGTCTCCTTCCAACTCTCTCCAAACTATTTGAAAAACTCCTTCTCAAACGTATATTACCAATAGTTGAGGAAGCCAAAATACTACTCGACTCTCAATTCGGTTTCCGCAACAGTCACTCAACGATCTATCAGGTTTATCGCCTGGCTGACAGAATTGCATTTGCCCTGGAGGAAAAAACTATACTGAACTTGACGTCTCTCAAGCTTGTGATAGAGACTGGCACTCAGGCCTCCTCTATACATTTTTTTTCATCCACCGTACCTTTGCACTTCGCCATGGAATATGTCCAATAGTTTATCTCAATAATCAACCGCTTCCTTCTGCCCACTTATTGACCGTCGTCTCACCTGAAAACCTCACATAATTAACAAAATCTGTACACTTAATGACAGTTTCCGACTCTTTCGACCACTTCTAACATTTAGGCACATAAAGCTCTCCAATGAGCTCCTACTCTACAAACTTCTCAGGCTCATTTGAACTAATAGGATCCAACTATGGGGCGCTGCCAAAACTTCCAACATCAACCGCATTAAAGATTCCAATCTTAAACCCATGTACAATTTTAAAAGCGCTATTCTAAGTCCAACCACACCCTACATTATGATCACAACATACCATTTGTCTCTGAACTAACAAAAACCTACTACAAACGTTTTAATAGCCAGCCGCCTACCACACCATAAGAATCCCTTAATGTCTGATCTATCATCCGCTTCTATCCCAGGCAACCCAATTAAACGACTCAAAAGACAGTGGTGTTGTAGCTTGCTAGCCTAACAAAATTCTTTACTATGTTATGGTACTTCCGCTGGGAGGCTTCTGCAGTCCGTCTAATCTGCCTTTTTATTTTTATTTATTTTATCTTACATTATTTACCATCAATTGTTCTTATTGTTCTTTTTCAATGTAATAGATTGAATAAAAACTTATGAACCAAAAAATAATAATAAAATTATTGGGGCTGTATTGATGTTGTACTATATACTTAAGATTCATAAGTATAATGATTTAAAGTCAATAAACATATTAATCCACATTACACTCATAACAAAATGAAACAGTTGACAATAACTACTGAGCTTTTTTTAGAATGTGTGACTAAGAAAGTAAGAAACACATGATTCCTTATTCAAATTTGGTGTTAGAAACTTAAAAAGGAGGAATAAGGGTGTTGGATCACTGGAAGTCACAAGTACAAGAAGTACTATAGATTTCATAATCTAAGGGTATAGAAAAAGTGTTACATAATACAATTCAGACACTATAAAATAAAAATAAAATAAAACAATTATATCAATCATTAAAAAACTTTAATATTACTTAGTTTAGGTATTTGTTTTTACACTTGATTAAATACAATTTAATCGATCACCATTGATTCATGAAACAGCTTTCAGTTCTTCAGGCATATCATTTTTAGGGTGTTTGTTTTCGAAGTGTTGTTTATACGTTTTAGGATCTGGCATCTGGGCCTAAAAATAAAAGTTTTTACTCATAATTATTGGGGTACAACAAATTACATTATACTAAGTATATACCTAGTATTATTTATTGCAATTAATACTAAAATCTGAATAAAAAATAATAATTACCAAACCTAATTAAAAAATATAAGCATATTTATTCTACATTCTAGGGGTCTTTATTTTATGTGAAATTAAGATACGATGTATAAGATCCATTGCTTAAAATTGTCTGCGAATTTATAATATTATTTACGTTTACACTTATTTAGTTCTGTATTGTTATTCATAGTTTAGAGATAATGTTACTCACAAGATAAACATAGATTAGATTAATTTAATGACCAATAACACAAAGTACAACTAGTTAGATAAGGTAATGAAATATCTGACCATCTTCTAGAAATCATTTGTTAATAATTATTTATTTTTATACAATTAATTAGTATATATGAATTTGTATTTTTGATGTAATGTAAATAATAAATAATAACAATTTTAAGTTGATACCAATTAAAATTATTCATGTGAACAAGATTCAGATGTGTTTACATGTTTTAGCATTTTATTAATGCACATAAATTAAGAGGATGTAGCACTCACATGTATTGTTTCAGTCTTTGGAATTCTCGGGAATTTCTTTCGCAATTTGAGATCACAGTTTCAATAGAGTACCGTTAGTTTTGATATTAGAATGAACTAACATATTATAAGATGGAAATTAGCTGTGTTCTCTTGTTGGTTTTTATGATATTTTAATTTTTAATTGAGTTGAGTATGTTCAGTATTAATTTCAATGTTTCAGTATTATTTAATTGAATAATCAAACAGCCAAAATAAATACAGAAACAAAGATTTATATAAAGTTTACAAATTGTAGGTATAATAACAAAATTACATTCTTATTTAGGTACTTTTACCATATGTACAAGCGATAAGAACAAAATAAGCTTACTTTACAGACAGTGCAAACGTGAATTAACGCCTTCTGTGCAGCTTTCTTCTGTTCATTGGCGCTATGACCCTGTTGCTTCTTCATCTTAGCTTGTTTTTCTGCGGCCTTGGCCTGTGACTGCGCTTTCTGTTGTCCCCGGGCCATGACAAACTGATGGTAGTGAATAAAATGGTAATAATATATTTAGTAAACAAAAACACAAGGTCGCTACTCATTAGATAGGTTAAGTTGGGTAATTTATTAGGTTGCTGAACACACTTACCGAATTGCGAAAAAATGGCTGATGCGTTTTACACTTTATTACTATATCAACTACTGTATCCAACAGTGATCGTATCGACAGCCGCTGGTTCGGCTGTCCACGACGTTCGAGGGAAGGGTTCTGAGATCACTCTTGGAAAATGGTAATGAAATCGCACGATCTGATCGCACGTCACTGTGAATTGTGATTCGTGACTGATTTTGGTAGGTCGTGGCTACTGACCGTCGTACGATATCGTGGGACCGCGGGTGAACGGGAGAAAATATGTATGAAACTACGAAACGCGATACGCCGTTTAAGAGCGTCGATCTCTCCGGTCTCCACTCGTCCCGAGTCACGCACTCACGCTCACCGGTCACGAGTCGGAGTCACCACGAGTAGACAGTCTGTAGTCCGACATCCGTTATCACCATTTATTACCACGACCGGGGACAACAACAACTGCTACCAATCACCACCACAACTCAGTTGTGGTTATTTGCTATTTGTAATAATGATAATACTGGTACGCCCATTAATTGTTGTTATCTAAGGACTTTAAGATGATTATTATCCAATATGGGTAATATGGGTAATCCATAGAGTAATTATTCCGTTGGGTAATAATTCGATAGCGTAAAACCGTAATTCACAGAATATCTGGAAATCCTCCGAAACGTCTGAAGCGTAAGTGGTGTCGAGATCTCTTAAATTAAATTCATTTAAATTAAATATATATGGTATATATATATATATATATAATATATATGTATAAATAAATAAATAATTATTAAGCTAGCAGAAAGTGCTATCAATAGGTGGCTTCTTTCAACAAAACCTCATATGTTAACATTGTTAACCTTTATCACATTTTCTTATTGCGTCTAGTATGGATACAGATTAAAATTACTTTCAAAAAAATAAAAAAGTAAATATATTTTAATAAAATTTGAACTTTAAATGATAATAAAAAAAAATTAACATATGGTGTAAATTTCAAGTATCTGCAGTTATTCGTTTTTGAATAATAACAAAATAAGAAAATCGTAAATGTTGTAAAAATATCAACTTCAAACGCTTATAAAAATTTAATTTGACTTTCTGAAAAGATTTTTTTTTGATTTAGGTATACAAACTTTTAAGGAATCTTGTAATACATTTTCAAATCTTAAATATAAAAAGAAAAATTATTATGAATTTCTACCTCGAAATAATTTACAAATTTTGGTGATTTTTAAGAATTTTGTCAAAATTCTAAAAATTCCAACGCTTAAAAAAATATTGTGAATTTAAGCTCAACTTTTTTTTAATTTTAACAAACAACAACTTACGAGGAACCTTGTATTAATTTTTTGTTTTGTTTTTTACTTAATCCAGCTGCTTTTAAAAACGATTGAGAATTTTAAAACTTTTACCGCCCAAAGTACCAACTAGATTCACTTTTCTACCAGAAAAATGAAGCATTTTTACTCTATTTGCTGAAACAAGTCTTGGTCTTATTTCTTTATGCATGTTATTTAATTGATTAGGACTTTGATTGGGGTTTGCTTTCATAATAGAAGATATTTTCATTTTTAAGTAAAATAACAATGACTGAATATTTAACCAAGTAAGCAGAAACTAATAGAGAGACAGTCTTAAATAAATCAAATATACCTATTTATTAATTTAAATAGATTAAAAAAAAAACAACATGAATCTATAAAAATATTTATTCATAGATTTAATATAGGTTTTTTACAAAAGCTTGGATATCATGTAGTGCAGAATTTAAAGTATAGAGTATAGACAATTAACAATTTAAATTGACTTTATCATGATGGATACAGAGTTCATACATTTTTAATGCTCAAAAATAAAAAATTAGAAATCTTGAATTTAATATTTAACCTACCATATTGAATCTGGTAACAAGAAAGTGCAAAGCATAAACATAATTCTAATAATATTTTATGGTATAATTTTTTAAGATTATTATAAATATAATTTGAAACAATAGTAAATAGTAAAATATACTATAAATGTATAAGTTATCAGGCCGAAGCTTAAATAAAAAACTTTAGTAGGTAATGAAAAATAAATTTAGAATCACCGATGTTTACATTTATTAATAGGATTATAAAACATATTTTATCACTAGCCTCTTAGAATGTTCAATTAATTTGGGTACAATAAATAAGTATTAATAAGTTAGTATAAATACTTTAATAACAATATTAAAAATAACAATTTCAAGATTTAAATTCAAGTTTTAAATCAGTTTTATTTTGTAAGTTGAGGAACTGTGTTTGTAATACTAATAAATAAAATGAAGAAAATAACACAAAGTAAATTTAAAAGTAAAAATATGCAAAAGTAATTCAAACAAAACCTTAAGCTGTTGTATTTAAAACTGCCTGTTTTTTTGCAAATGCTATGAAGACTTGTTCAAGTGTTGTATCACTAACAGTGTAGTCTTCAATTGCAGTATAATGTTCCTTAATTACTTTCATCTGACCAAATATCTCAGACAGTGGTATATTTGGATTAGTAATGTGATAATGCAATAAACCCTGCAAGATAAATAACAATTTAATATCAATAGTTTTATAAAAATTAATTTGGTTTAATTTATTACATGAGATACAAAAGAAACTTGATTATAATGTATATCTATATTAATTTCCTTATTAATAATACATAAAGTTTAAATCATTTCAATACTGTTTAGAAAGGAGTCTCGATAAATTAGAACTAAGATTCCAAACTTTTAAGCTAGTGGTGTGAACATTATGAGGGACATTAATAAAAAACACAAGTTCTCATAAATAAACAATTTAAACCTTATTAATCTAGGTAAAAAGTATGAAAGTTAAAAAATTGAAAACCACCAATTGCGGAATTTATGTGTATAATGTTATTAGCGTTTATGGAGCTGACCTGTTTTTTTGCTCCAAAACTGCCTTACAGATGTCGTAGACAGTCGTCGATATAATATTATTTTATATATATTAGGATAAGTCAGGCCTATGAAACGAGATGTTCTAAGGTGACATAAAGTGTACTATATAACACTGCCACAAGTACAGGTAAGGGAAGTCTCGTCGCCGAGAAACTGGCGGAAACGTAGTTACAAGGATTGTACGCAAAGAGCAACGGTGGTAGTACAAGCTAAGTGTATTTTTTTAATGATTGTTTTATATTTGAATATTTTTATTTTTTTGAAAGAAAAACTGAGACTTAGATTTGAAAAATTATACTTCTATTTTCTAACCCAGTGGTCGCCAACCTTTTGGACCTTGCAGACCACTAAAACTATGTTCTAAATTCTACAGACGATGTATAGCTTACAATAGCTTTATACCTAAATACCGTTTCAATACTAATAAATTTTACACCAAATTAATATTTTAAAAAAACATACGTAAAATAATAAAAAAGGTTTAATTTTTAAATATGATGAAAGATTCAAGTTTTAACTAAATTTTATTGTGATATTTGTTGCTGTTTGTGTTGAAGAATTTCGTGCAATTTTCTGCTCCAATGTAATCACTGCAAGTCATAGAGCTTTACTTATTTCTAGCTGATTTCTACCTATTTTACAGAGGACCACCTAAATTTTCTCGCGGACCACCGGTTGGCGACTGCTGTTCCAACCCATATAATACAAATTTTAAAAAGAACCAATTTTTACAAGTTTTTGTTTATTTTATTATTGTTGTTTTAAACAACGTAAATAAAGAACCAAAGTTAAATGAGACCTGTAGAAAAATCATCTCATTTTGTAATGTAAAAAAAATATATCATTTAAATGAAATCAAACAATTCTGCAAGGCATGAGAGTTATTCCAGTGAATTGTATTTTAAGCAAATAATCATGGTTTTCGATTTTGTTCGGCAGTGCTATTGATATGTCCAGATAGCCCAGTAGTGGCCAGTACCCATATACAATCGCATTCACACTGATTACAACTCACACTCATACCAACTTGAAAACCATTGCTCTAAGGTACTGTAATCTACAGTTTATAGACTAGAATGTAGTTACTTTAATTTAAAAAAAAGTGTGATAGCTCAATCTTACCTTATGTTCGTCTTTTAAATTAATGTCTGGAGCAAACTGACGTTCTATATCAGATTTTAGTTCAGTAACATTGAAATAATCAATATAACGTAGTTTTACCATTATTGTAAACCCTTGTCCATAACGATTTTTCAAATATTGTATATTACCAATACATTTCATTACACCGTCCACCATTATTGTCAAACGGTTGCAAAGTGCTTCGCATTCATCCATACTGGGTATTTAAGCAAATCAAATAATTATAAATCAATATAGACATTATATACAAATTAAACAATGTTTTTACCTATGTGATGTAAGTACAACGGCTTGTCCACCTCTTTGACTAGCAGCTAACAATTGCCATAAATTACGTCTTGCTACAGGGTCTACTCCACTAGTGGGTTCATCCAAAAACACAACGGGTGGATCTCCAATTAATGCCATTGCAGTATTTAATTTTCTCTTATTACCACCACTATATTTACCGCAGACTCGATCTTTATATTCTTCAAGACCTATAACAATGATAATAATAATGAAAATGCTGACAAAAACATATTAATCATAGTATACACATTTTTAAGTATTCAATATGAATAGTTTATGATTATTTTGTAGGAACTTTTAGAAAAAATTGTTGATTTATATTAATATTATTTTAATATTTAATGCTTACTAGCACAAATAATAAAATATAAGTTACACTGTTTCTAAAGATTTAATGTCGTACACATCAAGTTAAAACAAGAATAACGCATAAAAAAGTACAGAACTTCTAATTAATTATCCATTTGTACCTGAAACCAAATCACTTAAAAGTGACAGAATTATATATAAAAAAAAACTAATAAAGTAATAAATTATTTAGTAAAATCAATAAACTATAATAAATGGAAATTAATGAAAATTACAGTGTGGATACTTTTTAATGGCAAATTATAGCAAGGCCGTAGTCAGAATTTTTTTTTTTGTGGGGGGGGGGGGGGGGTAGAGTATAAATATGTTATATTGTGTAGTCAAATATGAAATTATAAAAATATTATTTAAATAAAGAACATGACATTTTTTTTTTAAATGTTGGTAAGTTACTACGCACATTATCTTATATTTCTACATTAATTATAATTTAGTAAACAAGTTAAATATATATAATATACTACAACACTACTATACTAATTTAATTTTCTTTGAAGTATTTGAAAATCTTCTGATAACATCTTCAGTGTCAATTTCAATATCTCTGTATTCACTCATACGGGCCAAAAAAAATTTGTGGGGGGGGGGTTGGACCCCTCCCCTCTGGCTACGGCCTTGAATTATAGCATAAAATATTTTTAACCATTTAATTTTTTATCTATTTTAAAATGATATATTTATAATTGATATTAAATTCAATAAGTCTATTGACTATTATTATACAAATACAGTCTCATAATTTTAATAAATAAACATTATAGATAACCTCCACATCTCATTTTACATACCTAAAAGTTTAATCCATTTATCAACATGTTTTTTAGTGTTGGTTGGCGATATTCCTCTCAAAATTGCCATTAGTCTTAAAGTTTCTTTTCCAGTGAGTTGATCATTTATTGCGTCAAATTGAGGACAATAACCAATCAAAGAAACATACTACACAGCATTATAAATTAATTCATATAAAATTTTTTAAATCCTAAAATAATTATTACTATTTTTCTATTAACCTGATTTATATTAGAGCTGAGCTTGTACAACTTATCCGTCAGAATAGAAGCGTCACCTTTTGAAGGAAATGTATCACCAGTTAAAATTCGGAATGTAGTGGTTTTCCCTGCTCCATTCACACCAAGTAAGCCAAAACATTCACCCGGGGAAACGGCAAAACTTATACCCCTGACCCCAGTGAATTTAAAACTAAACTTTTTAACCAAGTCATCAACTAGCAATAATGGTGATGAAGAATTATCTAAAAAACATAAACATGGGGTTAAATTAAATATACTAATAATTAGTATACAGACATTTTTAATTACTTGAAAGAGATTTAGCTGCATCAACTTTGTCTCTTTCACCACCAACATCTGGATCTTCATTCATATCTTTATAGCTAACACCAGTGCCAATGATTTTGTTAAAAACAAACTGATATATCCGATGAAATATTTTATAATCAAATAATAAGATAATAGATGTATACAATATGCTACTAAATAATAAAAATAAAGTTTCTTCTAGTATGCCATATGGATTTTTATCAGATTTGAAAACAAAATAACTTTTTCGTGTAGAATACATATCTAAAATGTTTAAGTATAGGATTAAAAATAATGACAGTTGGCATAAAATAAAAAAATATATAAGTACTTACCTTTACACTTTTCATCCATAAAAGGGGATTTACATACTTTGCACATGTTGTTTTCCCATGTTATTTGTAGAAATCCTGATATACATGATGAATATGAAAAATGTGGAACAATTAAAACTATTAACCTTATTATATTTAACGTGTTAAAGGAACTAGTTTTATTATTCTCTCTAATTAAGTCTTTTAAAATATACAATCCAGTATTTATAAACATTCCTGTAAAATAATTAACCATAGCATTATCAATAATGTAAATTATAATAACTGCAACTTAAAAAAATGTATATAAAATACCTATTATAAAATTAACTGCAATAAACAATAACATGGAACTGACAAGGGTATTTTTTAAATAGCTATAAACATATGCATAGAGTATTGCACTCCATCCATAAATAAGTAATAATGTTAATAGAGCACCTGCAAAAATCATATTTAATATAACTATTATTCATTCAATTTAAACTTTATAGTAAATTAACTTACCAACTTCATTTGAACCAGTAAATATGTCGTTTTTATCCAAGAAATACATACCGGCCAATGTTAATAAAACCACAATTATATAACAAAAATAGTCCCAAATGAAACAAGTAACCCAATACATGATTGGTGAAAGTTTGGTCATCATTTGTAAGTGCTTAATGCCACTTACTCTTTCATTTAATGGTAAAGCTATAAAATATCCAATTAAATACAGTAATCCAGGTGTGAAAGTAGTGATCCAGAGAAATACTAATGCCATCCCAAGTCTTTCATCACATACATTCTAAAAAGAAAAAAAATGTATCTCAACCGTATATTTAATTACTATAAATACCTTACCATATTATCTATATGAATCGGTTCATTAACAGTTGAAATGTATGATTCATTATTTCCTGACAACTTTTGTAGTAGAGCATTGGAATACATGTTTACTGCAATTCCAGGGGTATGAATAGCTATATTATTGTATATAACAGTTGATTTTGTTCGGTTAAAGTCACCAGCAATCATAAGATTTGTTCTATAATTGAATACATCATCTTTGCACATTTTTAATAGATCTATAAAACAAATATTTTATTATAAATACATTTTTAATTTGACAATACAATTATGAACGATTATTTCAAATTGGTTGATTAAAATATGTAGTCTTCAAGATTTTTTGAGTATTATAAATATTTTAGATTCTAAGTAACAATAATTTTAAATCAATGGTGCATTTATTGGAGCCGTGGTATAACATTTGTTAGTATATAATATATTCAGTAAATAAAAAAAAAAAATAAACGTATTTATAACTTTAAAAATGTACTATAACTCTTCTGCATAACATTCAATTGATTTATTCAGCATAATATTACATTGAAATATATTTAAAATGTGACTCATCCAATTCATAATATTTAAGTTTCCTAATTTCAATATACTTTATACTAAGGACTTTAACATTAAAAAGAAAAAATAAGAGTATGATGATAGAAGAAGTTATTGAGAACTGACATGTTATAAAATGTTTTAAAGAATAATGATCATGGTTCGAATACAACTTAAATTGTGATAATGATATAGTTGAATTAAATTGTACACTTTTTAATTTTATATGTATACATAATGTACTGACGAGTTAAAATTGCTAATGAAATAAATCCGCTAATAAAGCTTTTTAGATCTTACCATCAATTATATTGTTTTCTGGCGATGTTTCGTTAACAGTAGCTTTATTTGCCTTAGAAATAGCTACAAATGTCGGTTCTAAATTTTCAGGAGAATTATCTCCAGCACGGTAAAAGACACTGCTATCTTCGTAGGTACTAAGTGATATATTTAATCCTTGAGAAACCACGGTTTGATTGATTAAATAATTAGTTGATTTCATAACTAACAAGCCCAACAGAATTGGTCCAATTCCCTGGAAAGAATGAGAATACAATTGGTAATTAAATGCTATTTGTATGTTATCAGGTATCACCTCATTAGCCTGGCATATTAAAGTACTTATTACCTTAACACCAAACAACTTTAGTGAATATTTATGGAAATTGTTATGTGTTTATTAAGTACAATTATGAAATAATAATTTTTAACTGTGTGTGTATATATTAACCATAAACAATAATTTATCATGTATATTAGATTCTGAGTGGAGCGATAAATATATTGGTATAATAATATTTAATATTTTTTGTCTAGATTATGTTCAATCTTTAACTTCAATGTGGATTCAGTTAGAAAATTGGATCTAGTTGGTACTTTGGGAGGTTAAAAGTTTACCTTAAGAGATATGAGAACACAGTGGTTGCAGTAATGGCCAATGCATGATGGTGTGTTATTATTTTAACAATTGACTTTACTCCATAGCTTGATAAAAATAGGTCCGGTGCATACATTAAATGTGCTCCAAAAGCTGTTAGAGACTAGAGTACTATATAGAACTCATCAATGTGTCGAAGCATGTAACTCATATTTATCCGAATGCATGATTGCATATATCGAAAATATCCGAATTACAATGAATTTGAACTTCATGAATTATTAAATCAGTTATAGGCAAACTTTTCAACATTAAAAGTTGCAAAAATTTTTTTCTTTTTTAATAAATAATTTTTATATTAGGTATATGCTATATGCACAATAATTAATTATAAGCTACTTTAGAAATCTATTCATTTTTTTGGGGTATTCATGTAAACCATCACTAATAATAATAACAATGATTTTTGATACTAATTAAGTTTTTTTAGGGAACATAAAGAACAAAAATATAACTTACAAAAAATAATGATAAAAGCCATCTTCTATATGTATAAATGACTTTTTTTTCCAATAATACTTTAAACTGATTTTTCATTAAAAATATTCCACTTGTATACTTTGGCATCAATGCTAAAAAAATATATGATAGTCAATGATTAGTATTAAGTAATACTTAACTGATAAAATATAACAATATAATAAAATATTAAAAATGTACTATATAGAATTGTATTTTTATTTATAATGTTCATACAATTTGAATTAATTAAATTAAGAGAGTACATTTTCAGACTTAATTTTTTTGTTTTTTAACAGACAAATTAATAAATTCAAAGAAATTAAATATGAATGCAAGTATAAAAGTTAAAAATTAAAATAAGACTACAGTTTTGTAACTATAATTCTTGTACATTTTTTTGGGATTGTCTCCTTAGAGTTGTATTATTTAAAATAAATTACAATTTATGTATTTAATTTATTATTTTTTCAAACATTAAGTACCTTATAGCTTTAAAAATTATAAAGAGTTATAAAATCAAGACTTATTAGTACATAAAGGAAATGTGTTTTAAAAATTACATTATAAAGTACAATACTAACAAGTTTCTTGTATAAAAATATATTTCTTGCAGTTGATTTATTAGTTATTGTTTGTTTTATAAATGTTTCAAAAATACTAAATAATTAGATCATTTAACAATATAATTACTACAATTATATAATATGTTCCCTATAAAAATGGAAAACCAATTACAACATATTCTGTTTGGGGAAATATCATACAGGGATTGGTCCATGAATCAATCCTTTTTTAAGATAGTAGACAAGATGTTTTATCTAAAATTATCAATACAAATATCATACATACAGAGTGTTTCGCCAAGCATGCTTGTCCATTTTTCTTGAAGAATGTAGCTATTCAAAATCTGATTTTTTGAATATTTAAATATGTTTAAAGACCATATTTTTAAAGTCTTGAGATCTTTGTACTACTTAAAGAAATATATGAAAACCATTTTTAAGGACAATTATTCTTATTATAAACATTTTAAAACTGAGAAACTACTCTTTCAGATTTAAAAATGTAATAAAAAAAGGTATCCACTAAATAATTTACAATAAGGGATGCTTTCATCTGAAAAATAGAAGTTTGGAAAGCAACGGAGCACTCCTTAAGAAGTACAAAAAATCTTAACAATTTCAAAAAATGGTGTTTGAGTACAGTTAAAAATTCCAAAAACCAGAGTCTGAATAAATTCATTGATAAAGATTAAAATGGGGGCGAGCATACTGAGTGAAAATACAAAATCACAATATTTGATTTACACATTGACTGCGTATGTATTTTTGCATTTCCCGCCCACTGCGTACATTAAGGTACATATTTTTACGTACAAAGGAACTGATCCTATATGTACATACATCTAAACGGAGTATGAATACATATTTTAAACCATGTGTTTAATCACGCTAAATAATAAAAAACCACATTCAGCCATGCTTAACGAGTAATAAACCATTTACTTTTAATATATTGTGGACGCCATTTGGCGTCAAACACGTTGCTGATTGATACTCATGACGCTAATTGGCGTCAGTAAGCAGTCAACATGTTAAATAAATAAATAATTAATGTAGAGTACAAAATTTAACTATTTTTTTTTAATTTAAAGGGTGTAATTTAGGATAAGCTGTTATTTGCTCACCAACAATATGTTTAATTTTGCTATAGTTTCATAAAAATAAAAAATAAAAAATTTACTTTGTGTGACTTCATTATTAGATGGTTGTTTTTGTTCATCTCCATCGTCTCCAGCTGTGACTGAACTAAAATTAAAAAAATTATATGTTCAGACTAGACATCTTTTTTTAATAATTTTAAGAATCTCGAATCATATATATATATATATATACATTATTTACAATAAATACTGAAAATTACAATATTTGTACAGAAATATTTATTAACATGTGTAAATGATATCTACAATAACAATGATTGAATTTATTACAGTTCAACAAAAACTATTGTGAAAAATGGCTAAAATGTTCTGAACATAATTTAACCGTTTAATGTATTAAATATTAAATTACACGTGATTCACGAACAAGAACAACCAACAGTCAGTGAACACAATAATGCAATTAAGGACAGATGACAGTATAAGAAATTACAAGCATGTATGAACTTCTCACCGTTGGTTATTGCTGTCACAAAAACCATTATTCAATGTTGAGTTCTTTTTATTGTCTATCCTACATTAAAGTTTATATATTTCATAGGAATGTAAATTAATATTCAGTATTATGTCATAAAATATATAAAAATATTATTACTTTGGATATATGTCCCCTGTAGTTGGATTAGTTATTTTAACACTTTTCAAGTGAAAATTTTGTTTTTGAAATTCAAGGGCAGAAAATAGGGCACCAAATTGATTTCTTTTTCTAGCTGGTAGATTAAATATAATTTGAATTTCCATATCAGCCATCAACACAAATTCAGGCACATATTGTTGAATTAAATTGGTCACTTGGTCAACATTAAAACCAACTTCCTTGGTTATAATCAACTGATAACTACCAGAATCTACTGGTGTGTTTATAGATGATACATCATCATCATCATCATCTGATATATTTTTTTCAGCTCTAAAATAAATAAACATATATTTTTTTTTAAATAGTAAGTCAAAAAGTATAATTTCTTAATTAATTCTTATTCTAGTCACAAACTATATTTAATTATACTTCTTTAAATGTGTCTCTTAAAACTTTTTAATTTTTTAGATAACTAACTGTACAGCAGGCATTTCACAAAGAATTGTATTTTTTTTTTATTATTATTATTAATTTATTTGAAAAAAAATTTACATTATCGAACTAAATCCCAAATATATTTTATTTGAGTTAACCTTAGGTATTTGGATGAGTTTGAAGGTCGATCAAACTAGGTCGAGCCTAGTTTATAAAAAACCAAACCAAATAAAACTTAAATCAAAAGTTCGAAATTCTATAATAAATCTAAGCTCTGTCAAACATTTGGTTGAGACCTTATCTTTGAGTTAGACCTACATCTACTATTAAACTTTAAATTATCAATAAACAAGGAATTAATTTCTATGTTTAAATAATATTAAAAACACGTATATATAATCCGTAATAAAAATGAAAATAGTAATATTGAACGTCAATGTTCTGGAAAATTAAAAATAGACTTAAACCCTCAAAATACCAAATGATAAACTGAAAATAAAATAATTTAAATATTCACTTAACATTAAGTTAACTGTTATAATGTAGGATGAATGTCCAGGGAACAATAATACAGTGGAAAAGCTATCATAAAATTCAAAATCTATAACTAATTGAATATATTAGGATTGTTAATCTGTAGTTAATTTAATCTAGGGTAATATTAATATTATTTTATTAACCTTACAAAAGTAAAAAGTACAATTTATCTTATAAAAAAAAGATTACTTCAGAAAAACTTCTTCCATTGTTGTACAAGATATACCCATTCCTTTTATAGAAAATTTTTCTCTATTAAGTTCTAGTATTCTAAATACATCTGGAAATTGATCAGTGTTTTCATTTGGTAAATTAATAACAACTTGGGCAGTCAATGAGCTTTGAACTTCTGCTCCTGGTATAAGTTCATTAATTGCTTTTATGATTTTAGACTCATCACATGATTCTTCTTTTACAATAGTCAAATTATAACCAGTTCCTGTCAATTTTTAAGAAATATATGATTATATTGTAATGCTTAAATTGGTTAATTTTATTCCTACCATAAGCTTTTTTTAAAAATAATGAAGAGCCATAACATTTAACTTTTCCATGGTCCATGATAGCAATCCTGTCACCGAGGACATCAGCTTCTTCCATAAAATGTGTTGTTATCAAAATAGTTCTTGTTCCTCTAAAAGACTAATACAAATAAAAGTAATTAAAATGTTTAATATGATTAAAAAAATTAATTAAAATGATCTTAAAGAATAATATTTGTCAACATTTATTTTTACATTATTCAGAACTGTTTTTTTTTAATATTATACAAACAATAACACTAGAAACAAAAAACATACAATCAGAGGATATAACACATGGGTTTGAATATAAAAATAAGTTGCAGTAAAATCCAAACTTTTTTTATTTCTTTTTATTATTTAATAATAGTACCCATATGAAAATTAAATATATTTATTTTAATTTAAGTTTAATTTTGTATTAAATGTTAAAAAAACTTCAAGTTATTCAAAGTTTTAAAATTTTCAATCAAGAGTAGTTATTAATTTAATTTTTTAAGAACCAAAATAGGTAAGGTAGCATTAAAAGTCTTTAAAAAAATGTGTAATGCCTTAGTTTTGGTTACAAGTGTGTAACATTTACTCATAAAATAAACTCTGAAATTGTGATATTTAAATAATTTAATTGTTTTGTAGGTAGTAACATTTATTGCTGAAATGAAAAGCTGATTAAATATATACATACCAAGAGTAAATCCCACATTTCTCTTCGGGATTCAGGATCCATTCCAGAAGTTGGTTCATCTAATATTAGTATCTGAAAAACAAACAATAAATGTTATTTTTAGTTACTTGTAAATTTAAAATATAACATAGTAATACTATTGAAATTAAAATCTTACTTTAGGATTGCCAACTAACGCAATTGCAAGTGACAACTTCCGTTTCATCCCTCCAGAAAGATTGCTTACTAGTTCATCTTTTTTTTGCAATATATTTAAAAGTTTAAGCAGATGTAAACCTTCAGATTTTGCATTTTTCAATGGCAAACCTTTCAGCTAAATCAAATTATAAAAATATTAAAATTTCCTTAAAATATTAAATAGTAAACATTTAATACATACCATTCCAAAAAATATTAAATGATCCAGAGTAGTCAAATAAGAGAAAAGTAAGTTATGCTGAGGACATAAACCGAGATTTTGTCTAAAATCGTCAATGTTACTAAACAAATTATTTCCATTAACATTTATGGTACCATATGTTGGAGAAAATAACCCTATAATAAAACAATTAAATCAATATATTATAATTTTTATTAATATTTATAAAATATAAACTACCTGTTATAATTGACATTGTGGTTGTTTTTCCGGCACCATTATGACCTAAAAGTGCAGTTATTTGCCCTTTATATAGGTCCAAATTTACTCCATTAACTGCATAGAAATTTCCAAAACGTTTATGTAAATTTTTTACACTAATTCCAACTTCAAAATTGTTTGGAGGTTTTTCAAAAAGCCTACTACTGCTTTTACTGATGGGAACCATATCATTATTTTCAGATTTATTCTTCGACCATTTACATAAGAAATTTAATGGTTTTGCAACACCAAATTGTCCTGGCATGACTGAGTCAATGTACCAAGCAAAAAATCCATAAACGAAACAATCAACAACAAACATCAGAAAAATAAAACCAACAGAAAAACTGTTACCCCCTTTTCCAGCAGTAAATAGAGTGGAGAATTGAAGACCTTTTCCTTGAGTTTCAAGTGACGATATAGCTATATAAGCTCTTGATACTGCAAAATTTGGAAATAATGTGAATAGTGTTTGAACTAAAATGCTTGTAGAAGGTTTCACAAAATTTTTGGGTAAAGTGTAAGTGAGACACCATACACTACTACCCACAATTAAAGCAATTAATGGTCGATTGAATAAACTACTAATTGCAAAACAAAAAAATACTCCGGCAATCATATACATCATTAAAAAAATCCATAAAAGTAATGGATTTGTGTAATTTAATAACTTTGCTTGACCAGTATATACTTCAAAACAAGTAATGTAAGTAATAACTGTGATTGATATGGCATATACAAAAACGTTGTGTAATATCCATCCTGTCCATATCATCCATGGTTTAAGACCCATAATTTTCATTAATTCTTTTACGCCTGAATCTTTTTCTTCAACAACTCTCTTAATTGTATTGGAACACATTAACAAAAAACTTAAAACTGTGAATAACGGCAAGAATATATCAAATAATTGTTGAAATGTTGAATCCTTTAAGTAATTTGCATAAGGATACGACTGAATTTCTAAATTATAATCATTTATATTAAGGTTACTTTTATTATTGGCACTCAACATAATAAAAGCTTTGTCTAAGGTTAACTGTAATGCTAAAAATCCCATATTTAGGTATTCATCACCGTAGTCCATAGGTCCTGGTATTTCATAAGGTGGAAACAAATGATCTGTTAGCCATAATTCATTAGTGCTTCTTAACTTATACTTTAAAACTTGAGATTTTATAGTTTCTTCGAAAACAATTCCAAATCCATAAATACCACCACCTTCACTGCTATTGAATTTGATTTTAAATTTGTTTATCATTTCATCTTCATTACTAGCAGTTTCAATATTATCAGGAGAAATGTCCAAATTTTTTTTTACAATGTTCATAATTTGTTCTGTTTCAATGGTGTGTGGAGTATATATAAAAAGTCCAGATGAATGACGGTTCATAAAATTTAAATATAAAATTTCTTCAGAAATAGGGCTTGGTATAGTTTGATTTATAATTGTTGGTTCAGATGTTTTATCATTTGAAAATTGTGACTTTATATAATTGATGAAAAAAAATAACAAACATGGTACTATTATTTCAATTATAGTACTCAGCCAATGTCTTTTTCGCAGTTGTAAGCTTTTCCACAGAAGTACTTTTATTTTTAACCACATTTTTACTTATCTTCTGAAAAATAAAATACATACCTATTATTTACTTAGGTACATTGATAGAATCAACAAATAATTTTATTTATTGTCAAAAATTATATTACACAAAAAATGAATATAAGATTTTTTTAACCATGTGTTCATTATTCAATTTATCAGGATGTTGTACTCACACACTCGCACAGAGACGGGCAGTATTTCAATTAAATATATTTGAAATAAATTTTTAAAGATTTTGTATTTTGAAAACACTCAATATACAAAATAAATGCATATGAGACTCTATAGTCTATGATCATAATGATGGAACTTAACTGAGGTGATTTTATCTACGCTACTATAACATTAATGCTCTGAAAACTTGCTTCTAAAAATTCAATCATCTAAATGGTACATAAATGGGTATCACTCTGGCACTCAGATGTACGGTAGTTGTTGTACATGCCATTGTAATGGTTGTGTTATACTTGAGTTCAATGATAAATTATTGCATACAAAAAACAGAGAACGGTGACGTGTCATCCTAGCATTCTGGTATAAATAATCAAATTTGATAAAATTGAAAAATATAATTGATAAATATTGAAAAAACCTCATAGCTTTAAATAGTGTGAATTATTTACAGTGAAGTATAGTGAATATATGGAAAATGATATTAATATTTGTGAAAATTTCAAGTATTTACAGTTAATAGTTTTAGAGCTGCACCAAATAAATAAAATCAATTTTTTTTAAATTGATTTTGAGTAACAATTACATTTTTTTAACTCTTTTTTATTTTTTTGCAATGCTACTAGGAATTTTCAATGTTGACCTCTCAAAAGTACCAACTAGATTCAATTTTATTTTAGGAGAGATGCTGATACCAAAGCATTTTTACCACCACAAATGTTAATCATAGAAAGAAAATAACCACATTATTGTAAATAAAATGCATTAATTTTCTATGCTCAGAATCTAAAATGAAGTTGACGTCCTATCTATTCCTCATTGTACTATTAGTTTTTAGATTTGTTTAGATTCAGATATTAAACAATTTATTAATTTTTGTTTTCGGTTAGGTCAATTATGTTTATTAATATCAACTAAATAACAAATATGCATTTATCAATTTATCTTTCATTTTTCTTTTTTCAATTAATTTTTCAGACAGTCAAAAAATATTCTTAAGTACAACAACATTGAGTTTTCTTTTAAGTGTATTGTCTATTTGTATACTAATTAGACAGAAGGTATGTGTATTATAATTTATGGAATATTTACACAACGTGTAGCACTGTAGCAGTGGCCTTGAATTAAGTTCAACCAAGCGCGGATACAAAGGTTAGAGGGATCGCCGTATTAGAGATGACTCTCCCAAATTCTACCAAAAAACAATTTTAAAAATATTATGAATTTTATGTTGGGATCACTAAAAAATGCCAATCATTTTGTAGTTCAAAATGTATAAAATACTAAATTTTTATAGCTATGGATTGAAAATGTAACACAAGGTTTCTCATAAGCAGCACACTGCAACCAAAAAATTTAAAAGAATGTACAGTCAAAATATGGAAATTTCAAGTTCAAATTTAAACAAAATTAGTATAATTAAACACAGAACAACGATTTTAGTTTTTTGTTGCAATATAATAATATTATTTGTGTGTACTTTGTATTCCTATAAAAAGTGTTCTTTTCAATGTACCTTGTTATTTTAATCGCTGGTTAAAAGTTTATTTATTTACAATATAAAGTAATATTTATCATAATACATTAATCTATCATATTTTATAATTACATGTTCATAATATAAACAACCTTCTACCCCCCACCCCTTAATAAATATCCTGGATCCGCACCTGAGTTGAACTAGGGTCACAATAACCTAAGTAATAACTAGGTTAAACTGATGTTGTTATAAAGTAAGAAAATTCTTTGTTTTGTTATAGATACTTTGTAACATAGGCATGGTGTTAACGGGTTTCGGTTAGCGCCCCATAAAAATTGTAATCAAATTTAGTTATGAGAACATTACAACTGCATGTGTCTTACAAACCATGCATATCGTTCTGAATAATCCATTTAACTCTGTTGTTTAATATTAGAGTGAATTAACCTATTATCAAACTCATAAGTAAGAATATTATCAAGTAAATTGCATGTGTTTTTTTTTAAATTTTGATTTAAATGTATTAACAATTTAGGTTATTCAAATTCCTATAACTTGCTTTAAAATTAAAACATATGACATTAGAATGAATAAAATGTTAATACTAAGGATAAAAATTAGTGTTAATAGGTAGATACTTGGACCATGTATACGAACTATGAATGTTGATGGATTAATTTAAACACTAACATTTTTAAATTACTATAATCCTCATATCTTCAGAACCCGTTATCACAAAGCTATTATCCTTAGAACACAAAGTTAAATAACTCATCAAACTATGCAGTCAGGTTTTGTTTTTGATACCTACATCAATATGTTCAGTATAATTTTCCGTTTAATAAATTACAGTAAAAAAGGGAGTTCTTGTTGAAAAATTGAAATTTGTATCTCCCAAGATAGCTCCTTGAGTAGGTCAAGAATTTTAAATTGTGGCCCTTAAGTAGATACATAAATATATATATATAAATTCAAAAAATCAGATTTTTAATAACTGCAACTATGGAGAAATAAATGTATAACATTTAACATGAGTTAATAAGGAATATAGTAGATTAATCCCTAAAATTAAGCTTAAATATTAAAAAGCATGAAGTAAGTACTTACCAGATACCTGAATGACGTTGAAAGTCTGCTGACTAGTGATTAAGGATGATATTATATTTAATTTAGGTGGGTAAGCAACTTTAATTACATACAGAAGTACAGAACAATAGTACTAATGAAGCAACTATAAACTATGAACATAGAAACGAATATTAGGAGTAATAACTAATAATAATTATTGTCGGTTTACACAGCACAGTATAAATATAATAAAATGTATTTATAACCATATAAAAAGCACTGAATCAAAACTGGACGCTAGAAAGCAACAACCCTAATGAATCATGAAGAACGACTCGACATGTCGTGTCTCGACTACCGCAATCAGTATCTGTATAGTCGAGTCTCAAGTCTCGACTCTCGATTATCGAAGTATCGAACACCAAATAATAGTTAATAAATTATTGTGATAATGACTAATGTGACCATGAAGACTGTAAAGAAAATAGAGATATATCTCTAGTCTTCATGACTGTGACGTTGAATAGACGTGGGTGATTACTGAATAGTGATAAGGAATAATAACATTATTTGATACTATTGTTCTATGCAGCAGCACTGATACTTAGATCATAATTATATTTTTAACTTGGACGTCTGCTATTTACAATTTATGTTCTGGAGCATCGTTAACTTGCGAGTGTTGCGACCATTGAACCATGTAACCATGTATCGTTGACCTATGCATGCAACTCGCAAATCGATGTCGTTGTGACATAGATTGTTGTGGTCGTACTGTCATGGATATTGACATATTGTTGTATATATCTGTGGTTGTGGCAAATAAATAAATAATACAATAATTGATAAGATCATAATATTCAATATTGGGTTTTTTATACATATTATATACTTAGGCAGGCATTATTAAACTATAGTATAGGAAAATGTCAAGTATAGAAACTTGTATTATATTTTATGAAAAAATCATATTTTGTCTCATGTAGAGCTGTTTATAAAATGTTCGATTATTATTAGTTTTTTTAGAATTAATGTAGATAAAAAAACTTGGAAATACAAGGTTTCTTGTTAGTTGTTGACTTGTTGTTAGTTTGTTAGTGGAAATTAAAAAAAAGTTGAGCGTATACTTAAAGGCCCTCAATATTTTTTTATGAGTGATTGAATTAAGAATTTTAACAAAATTCGTAAAAATCAGGAAAAATTGCAAATTATTTTGAGTTGGAAATTCATAATTTTTTTTTTATATCTAAGATTTGAAAATTTAATACAACTTTAATTATTACTTATTTTATACAACCTTAAGCTTTCTTACATTTAACTAAAAAAAAGTTTATTGGCTAGTCAAATTCATTTTTTACGCGCGTTTGAAGTTAGACAATGGATATTAACCCTTAAATTAATAAATTCTCATATACTTAACGATTTTCTTATTTTTTTGTTGTTCAAAAAATCATATTTGAATATAATATAGTTCAATACTTGACATTTTCATCATATTTAAGTTTAAATAATTTTTTTTACATGATAAAATTTTCAAGTTTTGAGTTATTTATAGACATTTGAAATTTGAATTTTTTTTAGCTTTTAGTTTTTCATTCTATAAATGTTAAATAAATTGTATTAGTTGGGTAAAAAAGCTTGAAGGTGTAAACAAGGTTTCTCATAAGTTGTTACAACAGCAGTGCGAAATTTTAATGATCTATATACGTATAATTTTTTTTATCAGTATATAAATTTCAAATTTTTACTAAATTCATCATAATCTCGAAAATTTGCAAATCATTTTGTAAATTTGAAAATGAAATACCACTTAGTTTGTCTACTTTTATCAAAAAAGAATGTCTACTGGAAAGTCAAGTTAAAATATTAAATTTCAAATTTGTTCAACTTACGATTTTCTAATCTAGTAATTAATTGTAATTCAAAAACAAATTACCGTAGATGTTTTAAATTTGTTTAAATGTTTATTTTATCGTTTTATATAGTTACTTGTAAAAAATTTTCAAAAAAATTAAAATTAGTAATGTCCGTAAACAGCTCAAAACGAGTCAAAATATTAATCTGGAATTGTTATCATATAAGTATAGAAAATGATAAAATAAACATAAAGTGTAAATTTCAAGTATCTCCGGTAATCCGTTTTTAATTATTTATAACAAAATAAGAAAATCGTTTCATGAGAAATCGAGTATACCTAAATATTCTATGTCTTAATAATTTGAACTTCAAATACTCATACAAATTTTATTTGACTTTCCGTTGGACATTTTTTTTTTAAGGTAGACACACTTATGAAGTACCTGTCTATGGAACTAACTTTCTTGCCTTTTTCTAATTTTTTTTTTTTTTGTACAAACCATAGTGTCGGAGTATTGTCGTGACTGATTTATTTCATACCCTCTGTAAAGAATTTATCCACGCTTAGATACTCGCAAAGTCGCAATACCCTCGTTTTTGTAATGTTTGTTATTCTATAAATAATATTATAGTCTAAATACATTTTCCAAAACTCATCATGTCTTATTGTATATTGGTCAATAGTCATAACACTCATAACTTATAAGTCATTAATCTTGTATTTTTATGGTGACAATTTGGTTTTTCAACTATAGAAGCCCGTTGAATTCTTGACCGCGTAATATATAGTTATTTTAATAGTATTAATAACAAAATGTTGAGAGTGTGACATACTCTCAAGTCAATACTATTAAATATTAATACATAATTGTCCTGATAAAATATAATTAAATTATATGATTACAAATTAAACTTATCGTAGTTTGCAATTGGGATGTACATTGTACAATTAAACAATTATGATAATTATTCCTTGGTAAAAAAATTTCAAATATGATGGCAATATCACATAAGTATATAAACTGTACCTATTATATTATCGCATATTATACTCATTATCATACATTCATACACGATAATAATACCTTATTTATTAGCAAAATAAACTTGGTGCAGCTATAGTTTATGCAAACTCAAACCTGCTGCATTTTTAGTATAAGTACATATTGCCTACTACTATGTATTTCTATGTCCTTCTGGTCGTAGCTTTATTTTTTGGCAATCACTGCCGTTTTCGTCAATTTAAATGTTATGTGCAATGCGCTATTGCTATCATGCCATATAGGTAATATAGGTTATAGGTCATATAGGTCTTTCAACCTAGGATAATAGATATGACATCCATTTAAAAAATCATTTTTGTAATTATTATTATGATTATATAAATATTAACTTTTATGTTATAAATTTATACGGTATTTCAGGTAACAACTTTAATTATCGAATCACGGTATATATCGGTATTTTAGAATACCGCAAATACCGAACACCTGTATTTTTTAAAGGGCTCAATACGACAACCCTTATCGGTGGTGCCTTTTTAGGCCTACGATTGCGCGTGCGATATTATTTGTACTTGTAAGCAATATTCTGTGATATCGCCAAGTATATTAGTATATAGATACTTATCCAGTTATCCACGGTAAATGTCTATACAGATTGTGGTGATCTGTTCCTACGTTATTACTTTTGATTATCTATTACTTTTTATTGCCGAGATACTAGACAAACTTCCAATCACTTCACTAAGAACTGATTGATTTTATTTTAGATCATACTCTTATATTGAATCAAAATATTATTACCTTTATTGTAAATTTCTATGTAGGTATACGTTCGAAATACGAATATACCTATACGATAATAGTTTAATTCGAGCATGACGAGCTGTCTATTTAGATACTGTCAGTTGAGTTATTAGTACTTCAGCTGTGTCAATCCATATGCAATTTTTCGCTGTTTTAACATTATGTTTATTTTTTAAAATGGAAAATACAACTCTCTGTAAACTCCGGAAACAGGTATAGGGGTATTAAAATGTAAAATAAACATTTTTGATTTAATTTATCCACTTTTTTGATTTATTAACTTTTTAATATATACTTTAATTTTGTGTTATTTAGGTATTTTTTAACGATATTTTTTTACTTGACGGTAATTACTTGTTTACCTTAAAAAACGCTATGCCATAATCAAAATATTGTAAAAAAAACTAAAATTTAAAGAAAATATATTTTTTCTAATACATACATATTACATATAGATTGTATAGTTGTATTTATTTTCAATTTTGTATAAAATCTTCGTAGTTTTCATGTACATTATAATTATATATATATACAGAGACACAAAGTGATTCATCAAGCGACAAGCATCATTCTCGCCCCCTTTTTATTCTTCAATAATACAGTTATCCTAAATCTATTATATTTTGAATTTTTATGTATATATACATAAAGACCATATTTTCAAATTTTTGAGTTTTTTGTACTACTTAAGGTGGTATCTTGTGGGGATAGCCGATAGGTCATAGGTACAAGCTTTTGATTTAAAAATAAGAAACCCATTTTTACTGTAAATTAATTAGCGAATATTTTTTTCTGAAAATGCCGAGGTATTAAAATCTAAATTAATAGGTAGTTTTTGAGATACTTAACTTTGTAGATTAAGGATGTAGCATTGTATCCGTAGATATAGGCCCATGATAACGGGTTTAGAAGATATGTAGAGGCTATGCGATAAATTGAAAATTGTAGCAACTACTATAATATTAATTTATCAGCATTAATAATTTGTAATAATAGTCCTAGTATAATTAACACTAGACGTAATATTACTTTTATTTTATATTTTTGTAAAATCATTTTTAAGGACTTTTATCCCTAGCATTAACATTTTAATAACTGAAAAACTACTCATTTAAATTTTGGATTAGGTACATCAACAATAAAAAAAACTATCCTCTAAAAAATTTATTGTAAAAAAAGATTCTCATATTTTGAAGAACTGCAGAAGTTTATATTGCTCCTTAACTCAAATATCGTAGGTTAAAAAAAAATCAAGAATTTGAAAATACTGTCTTTAAGTATATTTTAAAATTTGAAAGAATTTGAATTCTAATAAATGTATCATGTATTATTAAACAAAAAATGGGAGCGATTGCGAGAGTGCTGGGTGAATCATTCTGTAAATAAATTATGAATCACTTCACCATACATAGGTATTTGATATTTATATGACTATTCATTAGGTAATATTATTTTTATAGAAACTGCGTGTTAAATAAACAGAAAAAATATTGTGTATTATAAATGTAAAGAATATACCGATGACCAATGTGCCTATGCTCTATATTGACTTTTATGTATTTAAGCATAAGTTTAGAACACCTAATGGTATACATCGGAGTTTTGTCAGTCTATCCGCTTTAGTTAGCAACAGGGCTTGCAAACGTTATAATAACGTTATGATTAAAAAAACGATTGAAATTTGTAAACGTAATTATAACGGAAAACGATAAATGTAAATAAATAAATAACATAAAACAAAACGTAACGTTTAACAAAATATATGATGTATCATTAAACAAAACATAACGTAAAACGGTATATATTGTATTCCATTAAACGAAATAATTAATTCCCAATTATTTAATAATACTTAGTAGTATTCAATTATTTATTCAATCCAAGA